AACGTTTGTGAAGATTTCCGTATATAATCAGCTGGTCCCAAGGCAGAGTAGCACAAGGCAGAGAGACAACAGTTCTTGGTGGTGGAAGACAACAAAAGCAAACAGAGAGGAGAATAAAGCTGTTTTTCTCCTTTGTATTACAAGTGGGCTACCTTCATTCACATCATCTCTATGTCCTCTTCCTGCACATCATGAGGATGTTTACAAAGTGAATTCCATGATCCTCTGCTGAGTAATTTAGTTAAGCTTCAAATTTCTCAAGCTGACTGATGGATCAATCATTACAACACCCTCAAGCATGAACAGCCACCCCAGGACATGTTCTCTACACCCTACATGTATAACACCTGAGTTAGTTAAGATTCTAAACTTATCAAGTTGACAAAGCATATCCACCATTAAACACCTTATGTCCAAAGTCTTTTTTTTTGTGACTTAGTTAATTTTTATTTAATTAATTTTACTGAGAAAGAAATAGCATGAGACAGTTTCAAAACAGGTTAATAGGACAATTACAATAATTAATACATTGCATATTGTTATCTTCATAGTAGTTATTCATAGTACAAGATGCAGCTATATCTTGTCTCAACACTGTTAGTACAAATATTTCTTCTATTTGAACTAAGAGAAAGTAGCTATGTATCTATCCTAACTTTTGCATATACAGATATATATTTCACTACAAAATGGTCCTTCACTTATATCCATTTTTGCTTTTTTTTTTTAAACTCTGCATTATGGCAGATTCTTTCGATTCACAGTGGGGTAACACACTAATAGCCAGCCTTGTGATCTGGATGCCCATTTTATAAAGTCATATGTCTATGTTTAATTTTATCAGTGAGTCTCTTCCTTCTGACTGGTTTTAGTTTCAGGATGTAGTTCCCTCAGATATTTTTAGTTGCATTTCTCTGAGTTTCTCTTTATATGTCTCCCCCTCTATTCAGCCATGTTTCCTCTTTTTAAATGCAATTTTGAAAATGGTTCTTGGTGTGTGCAGAACACTTTACTTGCACTTCAGCCTTTGTGCATTTCATAGCATCCTGTAACATTTCATCTGTTACCATTTACAACATTGAATGGCAGTAATGGAACTCCGTCCAACATGTTTCAACTCTGAAAATTCCCGTATTACATGCTTCTACCTTGATCTAAAATTGAATCTTTCCATTTCATTTCATGGATATTTTGCAACATTTTGACTAGTGAAATATGGAATCACATTATTATTTTCTTTGTCACCTCGATCAAGATATGCATTCCTTGTGTCACTATCAATTCATTCTTGCTTTGTTTCACTGTTAGAGGAACTTTGGTTCAAGTGGACAACATCAAAGTCCTCCTCCTCCTCCTCTCACTCACTGTCCTTCTCCTCATTATCTACCCACACCACTCTTTTGGTTTGAAAGTATGCACTGTGCCCTAATGTGTCCTATTCATCATCCATGAATGAATAATCTGATGAGTCACATTTGACTTCTTTTGAAACCTGCAAATCTGATTTTTCACATGCCACTTTTCTGAATTTGGTTACTTCTATCGGAAAAATCAAACGAAAACTTTTTAAAACAAATCTATAATTGGTGAGGGTTTTTGAACCATCTGAGATATTCAGGTAAAGATACCAAAGCCAGTGAAATGCTATAAGGTGTGTACAAATTACCATTTATCACATTAGCACACTGACACACTATTTGTTGTTCATCATATCATGTGAGTAAACACATATTGCTTCCTATATCCTTCAGTGAAAGGTACTGAGACACACAGAAAACTACTGTAATTTTAATGTACAAATTTATTGTGCAAAAGTAAGGAATGAGTCTGCTCAACCCAGTCTTATGCCCTTCTTAAAGACCATGAACAGGATATAAATGTATAAAAAATTTTAAACACCACTGGGCATTTGAAAGATCTAATATCAAATAGCATTGAGAGTCCAAGTCACTCCAGAAATAACAGCTATTATCAAGAAATCAATAAATTACAAATCCTTGTAGGGTTGTGAGGAGAAAGAAACATTTTTTAACTCTTGGAGGGAACGTAGACTGATGCAACCACTGTAGAAATCAGTGAGGAAATTCCTCAGCTATTCCAGTTCTTAGTATCTTACTTAAAGCATTCAGAGCATCATAACCCAGAGATGTATGCACCCCCACATTTATAGTTGCACAGTTTGTAATATCTAAATCTTGGAAGCAGCCCAGAGGTGCATCAGTCAATGAATTGATAAAGAAGATGTGGACTTTTTAAATACAAGGTAGTTTTACTCCACTATAAACCTTAAGCTCCACACAATTCTAGATAAATACATGCAACTTGAGACCTTAAGCTTTAGTGAAATAAGTTAGAAACATGTGTTTAAATACTTCATTGTTTCTCTGATATGAGGAACTGAGTGTAAATAAAGACAAAATGTATAATACATTTTGGGAAAAGGGAAAAATCTGCTGGAAGAATGATTGAGATTGAGTTGAATCCACATATAACTTTTGGGAGTATTACCATTTTGACAATACAGCACTGGCTCTGCATATCCAAGAACAGGGAATATCATTCTAATTTCTAATATCTCTCTGATCACCTTTTACAGAATGCCATTTTATTGCTTTTGGATATTCCACCAGAAAAATACAAAAAATTTTTTTAACAAATATGGGAGTGGTGAGGCCTTGAGTGTCATAGATCATCAATATGCCTGTAATATTTCAAAGAAACTGAAATGTACCCTCCAGAGTACAGTATATTGCTTCAATATATTGAATTTTCAGTCTCAATTTCATTAATCTTGGCTCTTAAATTTTCCTCCATACTATACTCTCCTGAGTAGAGTAATGCCTAAGTTTGTTGAAGAGCTCCAAGTAATTTTCACTACTTGAGAGTTAAGGTTTTTTTTTTTTTTTAATCCAAGTTGAAAAAAAAATGCACTGGTTTAGTGAGTTATGCACCACTTCTCACTGTAGACACAGAAGAGTGACACTTTAGTCTAAACACTATACTTGCCTGGATGACATTCCAGTATGTGGTTTTCTATTACTTCTTATGGAGGTAATTCAATTGTCAAAAATTTCGTGTTCAGATGTAACCTTGAAGCACCTGCTTAGACAAGCGCAGGGACCAGGATTTAATCCCTGGCTTCAAATGTCACACTGGCCTAGACCCTCACCCACCCCAGACACCCTGAACTGGCCAAGGAGACTGGACAAAGTGGTGCAGACCTGTAATCACAGCACTGGGTAGGCTGAAAACAGGAGTATCACTACCAAACAGGAGGCTCACTATTAGTATGAGCTGAGTAATGAGACTCTGTACCAAATACCAATGCAACTCTAAAATGAATAGAATTTGATAAGCAAAGACTTCCTTAATTTACTTACCTGTATAGGTTTTTCATTTCATTAGGTTAATTCCTAGATATTTAGTTTTGGGTGATACTATTGTGAATGGTATTATTTTATGGCAAGTTTATTATTGATATGCACTAATGTGTTGCTTTTTTAACTTCCTACATTTCTGAGATTGATTATTAATTCTAAGGGATTTTTGTATAATATTTTAGAATTTTTATAGAATATTGTATCACCTGTAAATGATGTTACTTTGATTTGATCTTCTCTATATGTATATGTTATCTCTTTTATCTTTTTTATGTTGCTTTGCTCAGGGTAATGTTTTAAGTACTGTATTCAACAGAATTCGTGATAGTGGGCACCTTTCTCTTTCTCCTAAGTTTGGATAAAAGCTTTCATGGTTTCCCCCATGTATTATGATGTTTGCCATTGGTTTGTTATAAATGTTTACATGCAATTGAGGTAAGACCTTCCATATTATTTTCTTGAGGATTGCTATCATGAAGTGCTTTGGATTCTGTCAGAAGCACTTTCTACACCTATGATATGATCATGTGTTTAGTTCTTTGTTCATGTTTATGTGATGCAGTACATTTCTAAATTTTCATATGTTGATTTATTCTTATAATTCTGAGGTGGAACCTACTTGGCCATTATGTATAAAACTTTTCATGATATGTTGAATTCTATCTGATATTATTTTATTGAATATGTTTGCAGCTATGTTTATTAAAATGTCATCTGTAGTTTTCTTTTCAAATGGATCTTTTTATAGTTGTATAACTGAAGTGAGTCTGGCTTTTGGAAATGAGTTTGGAAGAATGTTGTTTTAGTTTATCTGAAATGATTCAGGCATATTTATGCTCTACGATGAAACATTTTGTGCAACTCGACAGTTAATCTATAAGGTCCTGGATGTTTTTACTTGGTATGATTTGTACTACTGCCTCAATTTTATTATTAACAAATCCTTCCACATTGTTATGTCTTTTTCTTTTAGTTTTTGTAATTTATATGAATCTACAAATCTGTTTATTTCTTCCAGATGTTCTTCTGTTGTTAAAATTCAATTTTTCATATTAATTATTATCCATTGATGTACATTTTGTCTTTTTCACTAATTAATTTTTTATTAATGTGAGTTGTTTTTCTGTTGGTATCTCTTGAAAAAAATGTGTCTGTATTCTTTATTCTTTAAAAACCCAGGCTTTGGTTGTTTAAATGTGTTGAATTTTAAGTCTCATTTTTATTAATTTATGTTTTTAAATTTTCCTCCATAATTTTCATCTTGTTTGGATTGTTTCACAAATATGTTGAGGTTCCTCATTCATTTATTTATTTGAACTCACTTTGGGTTTCTTGTGTGACCACTAATTATAATAATCTTTCTTTGTATGTTTCTTATTGGGTCCCATAGTTTCTTAAGTATTGTATTGGCATTGTCATTTGTTTCTAGAAGTTTATTAATTTCTTCCATAATTTTTATACACTATTGGATCATCAGGGCTATGTCATTATGTTTTCATATTTTTCTAAATTTGTGTGATGGATTTTTCAGGGAGCTTGCTGACGCTGTCGCAGGGGTGGATCCTCAGCTGCTGAAGCTTCCATCCTGCTCTTCTGCGCGGGCTCCTCTAACTCCATTGTTTCTTTTAGATTTGTTTAGGCGTATCCGCCCTGTGAGCCCTATTAATAGGGCTGGGCGGTATCGCGGCCTGGGCCTAGGTGTTAACAGTAGCGACAGCGGCAGCCGACTTTCCGAATACGAGCACTACAGGCGTCCGAAAGCCCGCACAGGTGTTTAGAGAAAATGGCAGACGATATTGATATTGAAGCAATGCTTGAGGCTCCTTACAAGAAGACTTGCCTAACGATATCTCACCTCTACTCCCATGAATTCACCTTTGATTCCAGTGTGAACTGTCAATCATAAGGATGAGAACAAGTTGAGCAGTGCTAACGGCCATGAAGAACGTAGCAAAAAGAGGAAAAAAAGCAAGAGCAGAAGTCGAAGTCATGAACGAAAGAGAAGCAAAAGTAAGGAAAGAAAGCGTAGTAGAGATAGAGAAAGAAAAAAGAGCAAAAGCCGGGAACGGAAGCGAAGTAGAAGCAAAGAAAGGAGACGGAGCCGTTCAAGAAGTCGTGATCGTAGATTCCGAGGCCGCTACAGAAGTCCCTACTCCGGACCAAAATTTAACAGTGCCATCCGAGGAAAGATTGGGTTGCCTCATAGCATCAAATTAAGCAGACGACGTTCTCGAAGCAAAAGTCCATTCAGGAAAGACAAGAGCCCTGTGAGGGAACCTATTGATAATCTAACTCCAGAGGAGAGAGATGCAAGGACAGTTTTCTGCATGCAGCTTGCAGCAAGAATTCGACCAAGAGATTTGGAAGAGTTTTTCTCTACAGTAGGAAAGGTTCGAGATGTGAGGATGATTTCTGACAGAAATTCAAGACGTTCCAAAGGAATTGCTTATGTGGAGTTTGTTGATGTTAGTTCAGTGCCTCTAGCAATAGGATTAACTGGCCAACGAGTTTTAGGAGTGCCAATCATTGTGCAAGCATCACAGGCAGAAAAAAACAGAGCTGCAGCAATGGCAAACAATTTACAAAAGGGAAGTGCTGGACCTATGAGACTCTATGTGGGCTCATTACACTTTAACATAACTGAAGATATGCTTCGAGGGATATTTGAGCCTTTTGGAAGGATTAAAAGTATCCAGCTCATGATGGATAGTGAAACAGGTCGATCTAAGGGATATGGATTCATTACATTTTCTGACTCAGAATGTGCCAAGAAGGCTTTGGAACAGCTTAATGGATTTGAACTAGCAGGAAGGCCAATGAAAGTTGGTCATGTTACTGAACGTACAGATGCTTCTAGTGCTAGTTCATTTTTGGACAGTGATGAGCTGGAAAGGACTGGAATAGACTTGGGAACAACTGGTCGTCTTCAGTTAATGGCTAGACTTGCAGAAGGCACTGGCTTGCAGATTCCACCAGCTGCACAGCAAGCGTTACAAATGAGTGGTTCTTTGGCATTTGGTGCTGTGGCAGAATTCTCTTTTGTTATAGATTTGCAAACACGACTTTCCCAACAGACTGAAGCTTCAGCTTTAGCTGCAGCTGCCTCTGTGCAACCCCTTGCAACACAGTGTTTCCAACTCTCTAATATGTTTAATCCTCAAACAGAAGAAGAAGTTGGATGGGATACAGAGATAAAGGATGATGTGATAGAAGAGTGTAATAAACATGAAGGAGTTATTCATATTTATGTTGACAAGAATTCTGCTCAGGGCAATGTGTACGTGAAGTGCCCATCAATTGCTGCAGCTATTGCTGCTGTCAATGCATTGCATGGCAGATGGTTTGCTGGAAAAATGATAACAGCAGCATATGTACCTCTTCCAACTTACCACAACCTATTTCCTGATTCTATGACAGCAACACAACTACTGGTTCCAAGTAGACGATGAAGCAGGATATAGTCTTTTATGTACATAGCTTTTTTTTCTTGAGAATTCATCCTATCTTTTATTTACATAAAAAAAATAAAGAGGCAAGGGTCTACTGTCATTTGTATACAATTCCTGTTACTTGAAGAAAATAAAAATGTTAACAGGAATGCAGTGTGCTCATTCTCCCTAACTAGCAAATCCCAATGTATACAAAGCTGTTCTCTTGTTCTGCCTTTTTAAATGTTCATGTAGAAAATTATATTAAGGTTCTATAGGAATAGCTCTAGAGGAACAAATGTGCTTTCTGTAAAAAGGCAGACAGGTATGTAATGATGTTTTTAATGTTTCAGAAGCCTAACTTTTTACACAGCAGTTACATTTCACTAAGTTGATACTTGGTTGATGGTGTAGCAGGTTTCTAAAATACACATTTAATGTATGGAAATTCAAGTTGGCTAAAGGGCTGTTCAGCTAGCATCTCATCTTCCATTCTGATCATTTGGGAAGAAAGGGAGATTTCAAAATTATATTTCTTGATGGTAACTTTTCAATTAATGTATCTGTAAAACATTTCTTTGTAAATATTATGTGTTCTGGTGTGTCTTAAGATTCCAAACAAAATGATCCCTGCATTTCCTGAAGATGTTTAGTAACAACCTGATTAACTAAGCAATCTGAGGAAGAAATAGGAAATGCAGAAATAGGTTTTGTCTGGTTGCATATAATCTTTGCTCTTTTTAAGCTCTGTGAGCTCTGAAATATATTTTTGGGTTACTTCAGTGTGTTTGACAAGACAGCTTGATATTTCTATCAAACAAATGACTTTCATATTGCAACAAATCTTTGTAAGAACCACTCAAATAAAATTCTCTGAAAAAGGAAAAAAAAATAAATTTGTGTGATGCCTTTTGTTATTGCTTTCCAGTTTTAAGGCCTAATGGTATATTAGTAAACATATAGGAGATGTGTATTGCTTTATAATTATTTAATTAAAGACCACTAGCTAATACAACTATGTGACCTATTTTTGAGAAAGTATGAAGTTTTCTGAAGAGAATATGTTTTATGTTGTAGGAGGGTAGAATGTTCTGTTGACATCAATCATATTCATAAGATCAAGGATGTGGCTCAGCTCTAATATCCCGTTATTGATTTTTGTTCAGTTGATCTGTTTTTTAAAGTGGTATAGCTGAGTAAAAACAGTATGATAGATGAAGATGAGTTCTCTATTACTCAGTGCATGTATCTTTATCACTGCTATCTCTTTTTGTTCAATTATTTCCTTAACTACTACTTGGTGATGTTCTTTGTCCCCTTTTATCAGTTTAGCTTGATATTTCTGCTGGGAGGAAAATTCTTATTTCTTGCTTGTTTCCAGGATCCCACTGTATTTAATATTTATTTCTTTTTAATTCTGTGATTTTTATTCTATGAAAGCCCTTTTGGATTATATAAGTTTTGAAAATCAACTACTTGGATCTGGGGATTTTTTTATTTACTGCGGCATTATATGTTGTTGAATTGGTGAGTTGAGGCCATTGGCATTGAGAGTTGGTACTGACAAGTGTTGATTAACTATTAACAGTGCAGAATTTCTCTGTTGATGACACTTTCAGTTTTCCTACTTTTGGTTATCCATTCTTTATTATTGGTGCATTCATTGCAGCAAAATTTTTTTGCTTCTTTGATTTTCTCATAGCTGTCTAGGATATTTTTGAGTAATATCTAGTGTGCTGGTTATGTATTTCAAACTTGTTCAAATTGCAGATACAAAATGGTCTTCCATTTATATCTTTTTTGGTTTGTTTTGTCAGAGCTGGATACTACAATACCATTTAAATATTGTAGGAGTGTGAATTCAGCAAAATAATCCAATATAGTCCAGTAGTCCATAACAGGATTGGGATATCTGTAGGACTGGCAATGTCAAAAGTTGTTGAATAGGGAGATAACTCAATAGAATAAATGCTTGCCTGGCAAGCACAAAGGCCTGAGTTCAATCCCTGGTTCAGCAAAAATAAATAAATAAATAAATACATAAATAAAAAAGTTGTTGACTTGAGCCTTTTACAGCTCAGCATAACAATATGGCTTTACTTTTTATACCTCATTTTTATACATTTTTACTGGATGGTTAAGACCAAAATAAGGCAATACCTATATAACAAGAATTGAAACTTTTGCATCTGACAAGTTCAGTCAAATCCCCTCAGGACTTACCCTGAAGCCCTGTACAGCAGTTTGTAGATCCTTTGTGAGTGTCAGCCATGTGGATGAGTCATGACCATTGCTGGACGAATTTGCTGTCAGTGAAAGTCAGAGAGAATGTTTTCTCTCTAGGTGATTCTCCTTAGGTGCATTATAGTTCGTCAATCACTTTCCTCTGTAGCCCCATAACCTCCCTGATCAGAAGTTTTGGGACACCACTGAGTTACAGGATGTTACAGTACAGATTCTCTTATGTCCTGAGTCCTCACTGACCTTGAATGCCTATAGTTAGGATACATGTACAGCTACTTTCTCTTAAATCAATGAGATGAAAGATTTGTACTAGTAGGGTTTGGACAGGATATCATGTCTACATCTTGTACTATGAATAATTACTATGAAGATAATAATATACACTGTATTATTCATTGTAACTGTCCTACTAACCTGTTTGGAACTGTCTCATTGCTATTTGTTTCTCAATAAAATTAATAAAAAATTAAAAAGCAAAACAAAAACAAATATCCATCAAATTATTCTTTTTCATAAAATATACTTAGTTTTTCATGTATTTTGATGAAAAATTTTGCTGGATATGTTAACCTTCGTTGAAGGTTGTTTGCCTTTCGTATTTGAAATACCTAATCTGAGGTTCTTAAATATGGCTGAATAGAGGCGGAGCCATGGTGGAGTTACTCAGAGAAAATCATCTAAGTAGCAGGTATTTGTTTCTGATTTTTCTTCTTTTTTGACTTTTACTTTTCAAAATGAAATAACAAAATTAACTTTAATAAAACAAAGAAAGAGAGAGGCATACATCTTGGTACCAAAATCAATCTGCAAAGCAAATAAAATATAGTCATAGGATTTTGTAAAATGTTGACTCATTCCACAGGGCTACCTGTAGGAAATAGTCCTGTGCTTGGAGTCAAAATTGCCATTCTATGCAGTTTCAAAAAGAAAACACCTGACAACCTGCCATAGCATGGGCAGGCCTAGCCACACAAGATAAATTTGCTATATAAAGACCCTCAACTCTTTTGGCTTTCCCCACAACAGGACATTGTAAGACAAAAATATTGTAGATGTTATGACATAGTAAGCAAATGCTTGAATAAGAAGGCATACTAGAAATGGTAAAGGGTGAAAGAAAGGAAGGAAAACAAAAAATGAAAACAAGGCTGGATTTGAAGTAAAGGGAAGTGATTAGGGAAAAAAGAGGAATCACGATATATCATGTACAGGGACAAATTCCCATGTTGAATGAGATCGTTATGTACTTTGAAAATATACCAGTAAATATAATTTTAATAAAAAGAAATACTTCATTCTGAGCTCTTCTTGGTAATAAATGTTGTGTTGAACAGTCTGTTTTCATTCTAATTTATTTTGCCTTTATATATGATTTGTAAATTTTTGTTTGACAGCTTTTATGATTGTTTATTATTGGTCTTCTGGCATTTTAATTATAATGTGCTATGTGCAGCTTCCTTATTTCATTGTAATTGGTTGCTTTTCTGTATACTACATTTACTGGCATGTTTAAATATTTTTTCAGGCTTGGGAAGTTTTCTTTTAACTTTCTTTCTTTCTTTCTTTCTTTCTTTCTTCTTCTTTTTTTTTTTTTTTTTTTTTTTTTGGTATTTTAGGGAAGTGTCTACATGGTGTTGAGGGTCTCACTACTAGATTGGACTTGTAGTGATCAGCCTGTTTACAGCCTTACAAGAGCTGGGATTACAGGGATGCACCACAGTGCTAAGTCTCAATCTCTGTCTCAGCATGTCCCAGGACCGGGGACAACATGGCAGGCCCAGGGATCAAACCCCTGGACCTTGTGCCTGGTTGCAGGCACTTTAATCCACTGAGCTATATGGCTGCCACGTTGGGAAGTTTTCAGTTATCATTTCTGGAAACAAATGTGTTCATGTGATCTATATTCTAGTTTTCCTCCAAATGGGCTTATTCTTAAGTTGGTCTACATACTGTCACCTAGTAGTTGTCGAATGATTTTTTTCTTGATTCCTTGTCCTTTATGAGGCTTCTTTGAGCAATTCACCATAACTTATTATGCTGTTTTCTTTTTCTTTTACTTTTTTGGCAGAACTGGGTATTGAACTCAGTCCCTTGCGCTTGTCAGGGAAGCACTTATTCTATTGAGCCATCTCCCCAGCCCCTTATCATGCTGTTTTTAATTTAAGAAAAACCTATGTTCACACTGGTGATTTTTTTCAATGTATGACTTCTATATTATTTTAAAATTCTTATATTTCAGTCTGGTACCTTTTCATGGATTCTTTATCTTTGGTAAATTTGTCACTCATGCTTTGAACAGTTTTAGATAGATCTTCCAACTTTTTATTTTCCTTAAATCCACATTTGTCATTTTATTTAATTACATGAACATTTGATTCAGGTTTTCCTTGAACTTCCAAAGTTTATTTACCTTTTATTTAATAAATTTAA